GTTATTTTATTGAAAAATATCCCATGTGCCACTGTCTGTACAATTCAAATGAAATTTTCTAAATTCTATATTTAAAATAAATTTTCTCAATTCTGGATGCTGAACGAAATCTTCCTGAATGAATTGGTTTAACACTAATCGCTCTTTAGATATGAAAAAGAAAATTATGTTATCTTAAGAAAGCATGTTCATTGACCTAGATTTAGTCTTGCATAATCAAAACTATGACAGTTTTCCGCAGTTACTGTAATCTTAACATCTCTTCGTCTAATCTCAATACTCAAAGTTCAATAAAATGATAGAATCGTACAGCAAGTTTTAATAGATCATTGTAAAGAGGTGACTTTGAATCTACTCGTGCAAAAAAATTGGAGCGTAGATTGCAGGAAATATGAATACCATAATTGGAAGATTTTATTATTTTATTGAAAAATATCCCATGTGCCACTGTCTGTGCAATCCATGAAATGAAATTTTCCTTTCGTAAATATAATATGATCATCAATAGTAAATAATTTGATAACATTTTTCTTTCTCCAGAAAAATTTGATATTTAGCAATGTTTTTTCTTTTTTTTTTCTTTTTACAAAACACTCTTCAATTTTTCATCGTTGTATTGGTTCAGTTATGCTCCTTATATGTGCACGTCGGCCTCGGTACCGGTCGCCAATCAAATCTGTCGCTCGTTTGTCCATGGTGCACCGTCCACGATTCGACGAGACTAACGCGAGAAACGGCAGACAGGGAATAAAAGTGCGCTAAACGCTCGATTTATGAGGTTGAGACAGCACCGACGGTATGAACGTTCACCCTAATAAATAACTGACAGTCTACGGAGCAGAAACCATGGGGGTGGAGGTGGATGTGATCCCAGCTATGCGTGGAAGCCTCGACTATTCAGGATGCAGGCACGGCCGGATTTGCATTGCCGTCATTGTCGCGATTTGAATCGGTCGCTCGGTTGTTCGCTCGCGCAAACGCCTAGACTCTGTCGCGGCTTGCTTCCATTGTGGCAAATAATTCTGCGGTGCCACGGGATTAACGATTGCCTTGAATGGGAAACGGACTACCGCGGCCAAGGAGTTGTGCCCCGGCTTTCGCCTATTCCCCTGTCGTCGCGTAAAA